CGACTGCCGATAACACCACAAATCGCGAATAACGACAGAAACTTTATACCCAGAGCAAAATCAATTCTACCTATATACCTGTGATGAGATCTCGGCTATAGCGACACTTCGCGAAAAAGGACACTTTCCTGATGCCCGGGTAGGTGTCATTATACGCAAAGTTGACTGTATTACAAGCACGAGTGAGTTGGTCTGAGACTTGCCAAAACCTCGCTGCCCAGCTTGGTCATTACCTGACATTGCAGGTAGCCTGTCAACTACCTGCCGTTTGTATGTAGACACATTAATATTCTAAAAGAAGTAGAATGGATTGAGATCCATGCAGTTACGCGCATCACAACTCACCCCCCCCCCCCCACACACACACATACACACACACACACACAAACACACACACACACACACACACACACACACACACACACACGTAAACACACACACATATAATATTATAATTATGGACATGGACACGCAAACAGGCTCATACATTAAACAAACCGGAACTGATAATAATTTCTCATGCCTCACACCGCGTACCCGCACACCTAAACCACTTTCAATCACTGTGCTTGAACCAGTTAACCAGCATGACATTGGTCCCACTATTAAACGCCATGCCATGTGAACATGCTGAGACCTCTGGTCAGTTGAGCATGGCAAGCCTCACCAGCACAATCTCGCCCCATGCTAGCCCCATGTGCCTGCCGGTGAGTTGTGTATTTTGTAAAAAAATAAAGAATAAAATAAAACCTCCCAACCTTGAAAATTAATGATATAAAAATTATTACGTTCGCTCTCATGTTATCGAGTTCTTGCTCGTTTGAAGTTGCGATTTCAAATTAATACAAACAACAAACATTACCATAGGGGTGGAATAGCCAGCTATCAAGGCTGGCTATTCCACATAAACATAATGGGGTCCGTTCCCAAGGGCAACTCACGACGGCCGCTAACACCCGGTAAACCCTTGTGTAGTATCCCTGCTTTACAGTTTACACATGACTAGTAGTACATGTATTTTGCATGACTCTTATTGTTTAGAAGCATACAGTACTTCCTACATTTACGATTGTTCTTCCATTATCCTTGCATGGCGCCACTACACACTGGAGAGTAGCTAGACCAACACTAATTATCAGTAGTCTTCATTGTTTCCAAAATACAATACTTGTGCCGCTATGCTTCATTTACAAGAGGTCCTTGTGCAGTTGTATGGACTTATCTTCACTGCGATATCAGTTTCATGCTCCAATGCTTCCTTTGTAGCACAGAGGTGTGCTGCGAGTAATCAATGGCATTTCCAGGTTGCTTGCTACACTTTCACATACATTCTTTAGCTGTTTTGCTGCCTGCTGCTTGTTTCCCGCAATAGACACCAGCTGAAGCTTCCTAGCTGGCCCCCTTGCCAACGGCCTTGTTAGATTCTGTATAAGTGGTTCTCTATTTTGTATCTCATGAGAGCAGAGAGATCAGAGAGAGAGCAAGTTCACTTTCACTTTGATATCAGATAACCTCCAGGCCGTGCCGGAGTAAGTTCTGATACGTTAGTTGACTGAATGTGGGTAGTTGCCTCCTAGCCTTAGACCACGCTCACTACACCTAGTGGCAAATGCAGCACCTAACTGATGTGTTGCAACGTGCTGTGTATTGGGCAGAAGTGGTCCTTTTTTGCAGGTTTACCAAGTCGAGGGACTTCTCGTGTACTCTGGATGGCAGTCCCGAGTCAAGCCAAGTAAGCCGCAAAGCCCGAGCTGCAAAGTGAGAAGCAGACCCTTTCCGAACACATCATCTCCTAAGTTGCTACTAGAAAACTGAATGGCTAGTATTATTGTGGGCAGGAACGCACGATTTCCATCGAGACTGAAACCAAGACGCATGAACCTGAGCTTGTTCAGAAGTGCAACGTTTTAACACACGAATAAAGGGTACGCATCCTAATTATTATCGTACTGGAAATAGGGGTGCTTGTGCTACATGAGGAATTCCAGTTGCGGACATCGGAAGATGTAAATCTCTTTGAGATGCTCTATTTTGAGTAGGTCTGACATGAGTTTGGTAAGGATTTGACACATGCTAAAAATGTGCCAGATCAACTTGCATACCGATCCCAGGCACCTGCATTTCTCCAATGAATAGTATAAAGGTGTTTGCATACTTAGATATCGTTGTTGGTGACAGCCTCAGCTAAGTCAACAACAACATGTTACGTCAACAAACGAAAGTTGCTGTGGTACACATGAGTATACATCCACCAGGTTAGCACTGTGTTTGGCCTTGAAGTGAGTTGCGTTTGGATGTAGCGTCTCTGCAATACTGTATCAATGGATGCGAGAATGTTCTGGAAGTCTGTTGATATCCCTAAGGACCGCTTGTAGGATTATGTTTGGTTTATATGTGTCTTGGCACACGGTCCAGTACTGCCTAGCTGGCATGCCAACTGCGCGCACTGCGAACAAGTTCACGAGCCCCGTTGTTATGCATTGGTTCAGTGCCTAGGTGCAGAAGCGGTGACTGCACGCTGCCTCTCAGTACTCAGTTCGGTCTACCTGCTTTGTACGTGTCACCACCCCATTAGACACTGTTTTACGTCCAGCAGCCGTGACTGAAAGCTGATTTGAACAGTCTCCGATGCAGCATCACGAATGATAAGGCGCTGTCGAAGAATATTTTTCTCCAGTCGCCTTCTGATCTTTTGGAACCAACTTAGTTGTCATCCCTGCTATCTGTGTGCTATTTTTGGGTGTCGAAGTGAGAGATCATCAAGGGAAATCCAATCATGGCTGGGCCCGGGATTATCCCGAGTTTCCTTTGCCTACTGTCCTTACTTTTCGCAGTGAATGCGGTAGCCGCCACCTACGTTGCTCCCAGCACTGCAGCTAATGGCAGTGCACATGACGGTAAGACAACTAAGAATTAATCATTAATCAAGCTCTCGTGTATGTTAGGCTGTAACCACACTTGGTACAGAATAACCTGCAACCGCAGTTACAGTAGAAATCGTCTTGGAAAGCCACGTTTGTCGTTTTCGCTGTTCGTCCCCTGTTCACAGCTAGCTTGTCGTCGTACAGCACCGGTCTTCTGTGTTTTTTTAACTAAAATTAAAAATACTGAGCTGAGAGTGGTTAGTAGTAGTAGTAGTATTTATTATTTGACTAGGGGAGTCCCAACAGGCATGGCCTTGTTACAGGGAACCCTAGGTGAATCTTTGGTTCCTTCTGCAAATCTCCTAGTCAGAGTGTTCTTTTGTGCCGTAGCTGTGCCGTTTGTGAATTGTGGCGAGGCCTTGCAATCTCATTCTCAGGATGAGCAGTCGACAATAAATGCCTGTTGCTCTCTGGTGCGACTCGGCCAACGAAGCAGGCGACTAGTAGAAGTACAGGTTCCTGCACGAGCACGAGGGCAGTTCCGCGGAATCGAGCCCGCGCTGCGATAGCGGCAATGGCTGGATGAACAGCGGTACTGGCCGAGTGTCAGTGACTGGAACGTGTTTCCCGTGTGCACTAAAGCCAAGTAAAGAGATACATGACAGACACACCTGCATTGTGTTTTGTGAATGTTTTCTGGTACAGTTTTTTGTAGTAGTCCATAGTGCTTTTTTTCTCGCGGTGCCATTGACATTGTCGAGTGGCCATCGGGCATTCTGGCTGTTCTGTTCCTACGGATTTTTCCCACGTCTTGATCGGAAGCCTCGGCAAATTGCGCGGATCCTGCAGGTTGCTGAGCATTGCGCGATTTGGTTGAAGCTCATCCGGCTCGTCCAAGATCTACTTCGCGAGCGACTCCGCGAAAAAAAATTTCAGTCTCCTCCTCAACTTTTCGGACGAGCTCATTCAGCTCGCCAATATCGTTCAACAAAGGGGCTTCTTTTCTCCCAGTTCCAGATCAAATGTTTGGGCGCCATGATAACAATTGTGGTTGCAAACAGCCGCTCTTCTGCTTTAGTAATTTAATTTATAACCAATGAAAGACCTTGAAGTAGAGTGTCAGTCCAGTGGCTACTGCCCGACGGGCAGTGGAATCCGTTCCTGCCCGTCGTCAATTGACGTCAAGTGACGACGGGCAGTGGAATCCGTTCCTGCCCGTCGTCACTTGACGACGGGCAGTGGATCCGGTTCCATCACCTTTGAGCAGGCAGGACCGCGCTTTCCAGCCCGCACTGTTTCATCTGTCATTGGTCAACTCCAAGGCGACAATCACGTGACATACATGCCACGTTGTAGGCTCGCTCGCCTCTTTTGCTAGCTTATCTCGCCGCTCTCCACCATGGTCAACATAGTGATACATTTCACCCCGCTGATGCATTATTTTCTTCCGATTATCATCTTCTTTCCTTCGTTTTTTTGTTCTCTTGCCATGGCTGGCTAACGCCCCCTCCTTTGCATTGGCTTCTGCCATTGGACGGTGAAATAATAATAATACAATGTAATAACAATAATGTATTATCTACACATGCATCTACGCAAGAGTCACCACCAGCCAATTAGGACATGTGTCAAAGTATTGAACGTTTTCGTTCCCTTCTTGTCAAAATACTACAGGAAATGATGGAAATAAGCTAAAAGACTACAACTATAAGGAAAAGAAGTTCAGAAATGTATCACTCCAATTATGTGTAGAAGTGACACGAAAATATAGATGTGAAGAATCAAGAAAACAGCATGCAAATCCCATAAGAGACAAAAACGTAGTGACAAGAAAAAGAGAGAAATATCAAGAGATCTATTTCGCACCTTCACGACGAACAGTACCAAACAACTGCGAAGACAACACATTCTCCTTCTGAACACAAAGCTCAGGGTCTAACTTACGTATGTACAAAGCTTCCAACACGGCAAGATGTAACAAAGACCTACCACGCGACAAAACAGAGAATACATCATCGGAATACCACTGACGACAACTAGCACTGCCCGACAGGTGACACTTGATTGCCGAGGTCCCGTTTCCCTGACCCGACGACTTGGCCGTTGTCACCTCCGACATTGCCGCTTGCGAATCTCTCCCATTACGCCCTGCGTCCCTGTAATTCCGATTGCCTCGATTGCCTTTCTGCCTCCGTCCTACTTTCAAATAACAATAATAATAATAATAATAATAATAATAATAATAATTTCTCAGAAAGGTTTGCTCCCCACACCGGAGCTCGCGCTATTCCGCCGACTTTACTTGACACTTGACTGACTCACGACTGCCATCCAGAGCACACGAGAAGTCCATCGAACCTTCGACTCGGCAAACCTGCAAGAAGCACCACTCCCTGCTCAATACACAGTGTTTCGGGGAATTCACCCCTCATCAGTTGAGCTTGAGTAGGCTGAGGAAGATTGTGCCTGAAGAGCACCACTTATATAGTGCTGTCCAGGCACAAACATCACCAGGGATACAAACTTACAGAGACGCTCCGCTTCCAGCGCGACAAACACCTCGTGAACACCAGATAGCAGCGTGAGTCAGTGTCGCTCCTGGACGGTGAGACAGACGTTGAGGACCCTCGGTCATTCGCAACGCTATCACCTCCAAACCAACTAGTCGCAAGCCCGCGCTGGGCACAACAGGACGCGGAATAGCGCGAGCTCCGGTGTGGGGAGCAAACCTTTCTGACAAATCATCGCCGAAGTCGCAACCACTACTTCGTAATAATAATTTCGTAATAAGTATTCGCATGCAACGACGCAAATCCACACAATTCAGTAGACACTTCTTTTCTATCAAACGTTTTCTTTCCCTTCTCTTGAGGATAGTACAGGGAATGTTGGAAATTTGGAAAAAAACATAACTATAAAAAAGTCAACACTTCAACATAGGCGATAAAATGACTAAAGTGTGAAAAAGAACTCGAAAACAAAAGCAGCAAGTTGTAGACAAACACGTTGAACACATCAAGAAGCACTTGTCACACTTTCACGAGGTGTGACACCAAACAACTGCAACGATAACACATTCTCCTTCTGTACACATAGTTCTGGATCTAGTTTACGAATATACAGAAGGTGACAGTGAACATCGAAGGTGACAGAGCTAAATGATCGGACATCGTCCATCAAGCGTCATTTGTCGGGAAGTGCTAATTGTCGTGAGTTGTATAGTGATGATGTCTTTTCGGTTTTAACTCGTGGAAGGTCTAAGTTACATCTTGCTGTGTTAGAAGCTCTGTATATTCGTAAACTAGATCCAGAACTATGTGTACAGAAGGAGAATGTGTTATCGTTGCAGTTGTTTGGTGTCACACCTCGTGAAAGTGTGACAAGTGCTTCTTGATGTGTTCAACGTGTTTGTCTACAACTTGCTGCTTTTGTTTTCGAGTTCTTTTTCACACTTTAGTCATTTTATCGCCTATGTTGAAGTGTTGACTTTTTCTCTATTTTTCTATTATATTTATGATTTTTTCCAAATTTCCAACATTCCCTGTACTATCCTGAAGAGAAGGGAAAGAAAACGTTTGATAGAAAAGAAGTGTCTACTGAATTGTGTGGATTTGCGTCGTTGCATGCGAATACTTATTACGAAACTGTTTTCCCACCGCCTCCAAACTACTGTTTGAATAATAATAATAATAATAATAATAATAATTGCTCTCCGGTGCCTGGCCGTTATCCAAGGTAAGCCTCTCCATGGCCAGTTCTGGAGACGAGCTTCTGATGCTGGCTTGGACCTGGGCTTGAGCTTTCGCTGGCTGAAATCGCCAACGATCAGGCCTGCGACAGAGGGACTCTTGCTGGCTGTACAGGATCAGGCCATTGCGACCAGGCACTATCAGGTCACGGTCATTGGACGGGGAGACGTTGTGGACATTTGTCGAGTTTGCGGCACTCGCGGAGAAACAGTTGATCACATTGTGGCCTGTTGCCCAGCTCTAGCCAAAACACTGTATATCGAACGGCATGACACGCTCGTCAAGTTGGTGCATTGGGCACTATGCAAGCGGCATGGTCTGGGTCAGCCGGGAAGCAACCCGCTGAAGCATCATCTTGTGCCTGTCACGGAAAATCCTGACATGAAGCTCCTGTGGGAGTTCAATATCCCAACGGATACGCAAGTGCGCCACAACCGCCCAGACCTGGTGTTGCGGTCCAGCACACAGGTGCTGCTGATGGATGTCAGTGTTCCACTGGACCAGAATGTGCCCACAAAAATCGCCGAAAAAATAACAAAGTACGCTCCCCTTTGCCAAGAGCTGCGGCGCATCTGGCATGTGGATGATGTCCGCGTTGTGTCCCTGGTTGTTGGGGCGCTTGGTGGACTGACTGGTGTGTCCCTGTCACACTTTGTGTTGGCATTGGCAGGCACTCTGCGCATTGAAAGGGCTCAGCAATGTGCTATCCTGGGCACGCTGAACATCATCAAGTCGGTTCTTGACATTCGGCATTAGGCTCCTCATGTTACGGGTAGAGCTAGTCTGTATAAACCTCCAAAACCGCATTTGCTTTGACATCCATGAATGTGCAGTATGACGGTTCTCACAGCCTGATTTTTCTCTTGCCATTTGAGTATGTCCGGCATTCATCTCTTCCTCTATTTCTACAGGTCTATTCCTGTACTGGTAGTCCATTTTTGTGATTACTCTTTTTGTATTCGAATATGTCCTGTCCTCCTCCATCTTTTTGTATTCGAATATGTCCTGGCATCCTCCATCGTACTGCTTATTTCTGTCCGTCTCTCAGTTTCTGCGTCGGCTTTCAATATTTTTGCTTTGGTTTTTACAATCCTTTTTGCTTCGGTCTTCATTGCGATGGCCATTTATCTATTTTTTTTCTCTCTCATTACCCTTGGTCTCTTTTGGCCCGGTGATGGGGTTCTTACCTCATGTCATGACAACGTGAGTGAAATAAAGCCAACTCCATAATAATAATAATAATAATAATTTTTTAAAAGAGGTCGGAGGTATAAGTTTTAGTCTTTCCAGCTTGAGCCATTGCCTGTATAATCCTTGATGAGAAGGGACCGAAAACGTTCGGATACTTATGACAAGTGCCTTATTATGACTGGATGTGTGTTTGCGTGGATATTTGCGACCCATAACTTACCTTCGTTTTAAAATAATAATAATAATAATAATAATAATTGTGGAAGAGAAAAGGACATATGGATACGAGTTAAGAGTAACTCTCCATCACTGTAACATGATACTATATACAGTCAGAAAGTGCAGTCAGAAAGTGTTACAGTGATGGAGAGTTACTCTTAACTCGTATCCATATGTCCTTTTCTCTTCCACATTTATTTACGGCTCAACATCCGAGTTTCAAATAATAATAATAATAATAATAATATTGACTGATTTGAGGGAAAGAGACAAACGGGAAAAGTCTGAAGAAAAAATTGACTGTCACCACCAGGACTTGAACCAGGGACCCTCGCTTGTAGCTAGCGATGCTCTAACCACTGAGCTATGGTGTAGTCGTCATCCCAGCAGAGGCCGTTCAACATTTTCTTCAGACTTCGTAACTCACACTTCCTGTGAATCCACACAGGCGGGTGGGACGCAGCCCTCACTGTAACCCACACACTTCACGTACAAACTAGCACGCGGGGAGCCCCAAGTCATAAAATATTGACTGATTTGAGGGAAAGAGACAAACGGGAAAAGTCTGAAGAAAAAATTGACTGTCACCACCAGGACTCGAACCAGGGACCCTCGCTTGTAGCCAGCGATGCTCTAACCACTGAGCTATGGTGTAGTCGTCATCCCAGCAGAGGCCGTTCAACATTTTCTTCAGACTTCGTAACTCACACTTCCTGTGAATCCACACAGGCGGGTGGGACGCAGCCCTCACTGTAACCCACACACTTCACGTACAAACTAGCACGCGGGGAGCCCCAAGTCAGAAAATATTGACTGATTTGAGGGAAAGAGACAAACGGGAAAGGTCTGAAGAAAAAATTGACTGTCACCACCAGGACTCGAACCAGGGACCCTCGCTTGTAGCCAGCGATGCTCTAACCACTGAGCTATGGTGTAGTCGTCATCCCAGCAGAGGCCGTTCAACATTTTCTTCAGACTTCGTAACTCACACTTCCTGTGAATCCACACAATAATAATACACAATAATAATAATAATAATAATTGAATTGTTTGCAGGCAACCAATAATTGAATTGTTTGCAGGCAACCTGCCTACACTCAAGAGAGCACTGCATTTCACACAAATCCATTGGTATCGTTACAACGTTTTGGTCTTTATGACCATCATCAGGAATGAAGTGGACATGGAAAGAACAGCAGTATAAAAGAAGGAGGCAAGCAAGCAAAGCGCGGTACATAGTGACAGCGCGCGTAGAGAAGTGCAAAGCACGTCATGGCGGGTGTGCATTACTACATATACATGACAACACAAGCACAAACGGCGAGGAAAGTAGATACTGCGCTACAGCAGTGATAACAGCCCAGTTCCAGTCTCACACCACCAGTGAGGTGTCTATGAGTACAGCCTGGCGAGCTTCAAGCGCGAAGCAATGGCCTGTACAAAAACTCGCGAGTGCCGCAGCCGAACCTGTCTCACTCTGATCGTGAGCAGCTCATGAAGGTCGGCAAGGACGAGTCGGTCATCATAAAAAAATCTGATAAAAGCAACAAATTTGTAGCAATGAAAATGACCACTTACCTGGAGAAGGCAGAATCCCTGTTGTCGGACGATTCCCGGTTTGAGAAAGTTGACCTTACTATCGACCAGTGGGAGGAGGAGACCCGAAAGATACTCCGCCGAGTTTGCGAGGGATCCTTGGAAAAGGATTTATACACAGCCGTGATGCCGGGTGACAACAGCTTCCCTGAAATGTACGGTCTTCCAAAAGACCACAAGTCCAATATTCCTCTCAGACCAGTCGTTGCGGCCTGCGGCAGCCCAGTTACAAACATCTCCATAGTCCTCGAACGCATCCTCAATCAATGTCTCCAGTTCGTGCCAGCACACCTGGAGAACACTGTTGAAGCACTCCAGTGTATGAGGAGCGCGTTTCCCAACCTCAAGGCCCCGCCCGGCACCATCATTGTGACTATGGATGTGGTGGCCCTTTACCCTAGCATCCCGATTAACGATGGCATTGCAGCAGTCATGAGAGTCCTCCGACAACACGAGGGCAGCATCGATCTGTTCGGTTTCCGAATTGGGCAGGTCAAGGAGCTCCTCGCACATGTGCTGAGCTCCAACTACTTCCGGTTTGGAGCGCAGGTGTACCACCAGAAGGATGGTGTGGCTATGGGCAATAACCTAGCGCCCCCCTTTGCCATCCTGTACATGCATGACCTAGAGAGTTCGCTCTTGCGTAGTGCACCTGCCAGCCCAGTTCTGTACAAGCGCTACATCGATGATGTTTTCATTGTGTGGAACCTCGGTCCGGAACTTCTGCAGAGTTTCCTAGATCACTTCAATAATGCCGATCCTAATATTAAATTCACTCACCAATCCACGGAGTTGACTGGCTCAATCAATTTCATGGACACGACCGTCCATGTCTCACCAGATGGATCTATATCCTATGAACTATACCGCAAGCCATGTCACAGCGGACTGGTATCAGACTACAACTCGTCAGTTCCCAACCAGCAAAAGAAAGCAATTGCTTCCTCTGAGTTCCTGCGTGCCGTCCGCCTATCCTCCGATGCCGACACCCTAAAAAGAAGTGAAGAAAAAGTAACCAACATCCTAAAATTCAACAACTTCCCAGAGTCAGTTATAGTTTCGGCACGTGAACGAGCTATGCGCCCCCGACGTGTCAGAGTGCAGAATGAATACCGTGTCACCCTCAACCTACCGTTTCACACCGAGTATATCCACAACAAAATTCATAAATTACTCCGGAAGTACAAGATAAATGCCCAGCTGATTTACAGGAACCGCCGTCTAAGTTCTATGATTTGCACGTCTGCCCTCCGCAAACCACCATGCCGCAGGTATGTAGACCCGTCCAGGCCCCGTAAACGGGGGCGGCCCAAAGCTGCTTGTGTCGCCTGCATGTCCGGTTCAGGGGCATGCACGGAGCGAAATGTTGTATACCACCTGGAGTGCAAATGTGGTGATAGATATGTCGGAGAGACGTACCGCAGCCTCGCTACCAGGACAAAAGAACACAACGACGACGCACGCAACACAGTGAGCGGCACCGCGCTGGGTGAGCATTTCGCGGCCAAGCATGCATCTGACCCATTGCCATTGGGAGCAACGGCTTTCTCAGGTATCCGGGTTCTCGGTTCTGAGCGTGACCGCCCCAGGAGGAGGATCCGGGAGGCCATTAATATCAGGGAGCGATCCCCGGAAATTAACAATAACAGTGGCTGGGATCTGCTATAACACCACCTTACTGCGAGTGGCGCGGGGCTCTAGACACCTCACTGGTGGTGTGAGACTGGAACTGGGCTGTTATCACTGCTGTAGCGCAGTATCTACTTTCCTCGCCGTTTGTGCTTGTGTTGTCATGTATATGTAGTAATGCACACCCGCAATGACGTGCTTTGCACTTCTCTACGCGCGCTGTCACTATGTACCGCGCTTTGCTTGCTTGCCTCCTTCTTTTATACTGCTGTTCTTTCCATGTCCACTTCATTCCTGATGATGGTCATAAAGACCGAAACGTTGTAACGATACCAATGGATTTGTGTGAAATGCAGTGCTCTCTTGAGTGTAGGCAGGTTGCCTGCAAACAATTCAAGTATAATGAAGCTGCGTGAAGCGTCCTTCAAAATTTTGAAATAATAATAATAATAACGCGTGCTAGTTTGTACGTGAAGTGTGTGGGTTACAGTGAGGGCTGCGTCCCACCCGCCTGTGTGGATTCACAGGAAGTGTGAGTTACGAAGTCTGAAGAAAATGTTGAACGGCCTCTGCTGGGATGACGACTACACCATAGCTCAGTGGTTAGAGCATCGCTGGCTACAAGCGAGGGTCCCTGGTTCGAGTCCTGGTGGTGGCAGTCAATTTTTTCTTCAGACTTTTCCCGTTTGTCTCTTTCCCTCAAACCAGTCAATATTTTATGACTTGGGGCTCCCCGCGTGCTAGTTTGTACGTGAAGTGTGTGGGTTACAGTGAGGGCTGCGTCCCACCCGCCTGTGTGGATTCACAGGAAGTGTGAGTTACGAAGTCTGAAGAAAATGTTGAACGGCCTCTGCTGGGATGACGACTACACCATAGCTCAGTGGTTAGAGCATCGCTGGCTACAAGCGAGGGTCCCTGGTTCGAGTCCTGGTGGTGGCAGTCAATTTTTTCTTCAGACTTTTCCCGTTTGTCTCTTTCCCTCAAACCAGTCAATATTTTATGACTTGGGGCTCCCCGCGTGCTAGTTTGTACATGAAGTGTGTGGGTTACAGTGAGGGCTGCGTCCCACCCGCCTGTGTGGATTCACAGGAAGTGTGAGTTACGAAGTCTGAAGAAAATGTTGAACGGCCTCTGCTGGGATGACGACTACACCATAGCTCAGTGGTTAGAGCATCGCTGGCTACAAGCGAGGGTCCCTGGTTCGAGTCCTGGTGGTGGCAGTCAATTTTTTCTTCAGACTTTTCCCGTTTGTCTCTTTCCCTCAAACCAGTCAATATTTTATGACTTGGGGCTCCCCGCGTGCTAGTTTGTACGTGAAGTGTGTGGGTTACAGTGAGGGCTGCGTCCCACCCGCCTGTGTGGATTCACAGGAAGTGTGAGTTACGAAGTCTGAAGAAAATGTTGAACGGCCTCTGCTGGGATGACGACTACACCATAGCTCAGTGGTTAGAGCATCGCTGGCTACAAGCGAGGGTCCCTGGTTCGAGTCCTGGTGGTGGCAGTCAATTTTTTCTTCAGACTTTTCCCGTTTGTCTCTTTCCCTCAAACCAGTCAATATTTTATGACTTGGGGCTCCCCGCGTGCTAGTTTGTACGTGAAGTGTGTGGGTTACAGTGAGGGCTGCGTCCCACCCGCCTGTGTGGATTCACAGGAAGTGTGAGTTACGAAGTCTGAAGAAAATGTTGAACGGCCTCTGCTGGGATGACGACTACACCATAGCTCAGTGGTTAGAGCATCGCTGGCTACAAGCGAGGGTCCCTGGTTCGAGTCCTGGTGGTGGCAGTCAATTTTTTCTTCAGACTTTTCCCGTTTGTCTCTTTCCCTCAAACCAGTCAATATTTTATGACTTGGGGCTCCCCGCGTGCTAGTTTGTACGTGAAGTGTGTGGGTTACAGTGAGGGCTGCGTCCCACCCGCCTGTGTGGATTCACAGGAAGTGTGAGTTACGAAGTCTGAAGAAAATGTTGAACGGCCTCTGCTGGGATGACGACTACACCATAGCTCAGTGGTTAGAGCATCGCTGGCTACAAGCGAGGGTCCCTGGTTCGAGTCCTGGTGGTGGCAGTCAATTTTTTCTTCAGACTTTTCCCGTTTGTCTCTTTCCCTCAAACCAGTCAATAATAATAATAATAATAATAATAAAGGGTTTGCTCCCCACACCGGAGCTCGCGCTATTCCGCCGACTTACAAATCATCGCCGAAGTCGCAACCACTACTTCGTAATAATAATAATAATACGGGAATGTAACTATGCTCTTGTATACAATTGCCCGAATTGCTGCATCTGCTGCATGACCATTTTCCGAGCATCATTCTGAGCTGCAGGGATAACTAACACGAACTCAAAACAGAAAAAACTACTCCAGGCCCAATGTTTGCAACGACAACGAGCCCAGATGAAATCCTCTTCATAAAATTGGTTTTGAATTTCCCCCTGTTTTCCAGCACGCGGCACAAAGTTCACGCTTTGGTACGAAAACGTCACAATGCTGGTCCCCTGAAAACGTCATCTATGCAGACCGAAAAGTGCAGTGGGATTACGTATCATATTGACCATGACTGTGGATAAGAGTCATACTATAGCTCAGTTGGTTAGAGCATTGCTCGCGAATAGCAAGGTCCCTGGTTCGAGTCCCGGTGGTGTGACTGATGATTTTTTTCTTTCTTTCATATCTGGCTTGCAAGTGTTCAGTTTCGGAGAGAAAAGAGCAATACGTGACATGTGGCCTCTAATTTCCTAAAAACCAATAACTACATCCAGAAAAATCGAAAACAACAACAAAAGAAAACAAAAACAACTTGGTAAACAAACAAACACAGTATACAAAATCAGAAAACTACGTATCAAGCCGAGACTCAGCCACCACGATGGAACTATCCACAGAACGTTGGACAGGGAAACCCCAACGAGAACGAGCACCACGGATATAAAATATCTCAGCAAGGAAAAAAGAGACGGGCACGCAGCAGACTCATGACAACGGAGTATTCGCTACCAGAAGACTCACATTGTAAGCCACAAAGAAGTTTCGAAACAAAGTGCACAACGAACTACAACCACAGTGAGTACGGAACACTAGTCCATTCAGAAAAAAATGAACTTCTAGCTTTTGGCCATAAATGGGTCAAACTTTGAGTTTTTTTAGAATTTTTTTGGCAATCCCCTATGGAATCCTCTTCCAATTATGTTTCTGACGTTTGTTGTCCAAAAAGCAAGCCATAGCAAGAATAGGATTTCGGCCAGGTTTTGCCCCAAAAGCACAGAATTGGGAAAACCATCAAAATCCAGGCCGTTTGACCCCGCCTGGCAACAGTGCATTCTGCGGTTCGAACCCCAGTTCAGGCACCCTTTTTGGACCCTTTTTCAAATTTCAAAGTTCGCAGCACTGCACTGTGTACGATGAAATCACGAAAAACCGCCAAATACGAGAGCTCGCCAGAGCCAGAGCCCATCTTTTTATGAATGGACTGTAGAGGGGTGAAAGAACAACGCTCTACATTCACAACTCTCTCCTGATACTCACGACAGTTAGAATCCTCATGTTGCTTGTAGAGAGCGCTGACAAATTTTGAGCGATAGGAGGGACATCTGGGCTAAAAACCCTTACATCAAAAAACCTCTTTCCCACAGCTCCACAAGCCCTGAGCGCTCACATGGAGTCTGGCCTTCTCACTAACTGACTGATGGAGCGGTCACACCACATCGCTTGCTGGTACGGATCTATCACACGTGTTCGCCAGCTTTGGTTTCCAGCAGCTTGTCAATTTCCCCACCGGTGTCGCTCCGAATGGAAGACTGTCCTGTCTGGACTTGCTTGCTACGAACCGCCCCCTCTCTGTACGCCTGTACGCTTTGTTGACGATGCTGCCCGATTGCTGCATCGGATCATTTGTAAGTCATTACAACGCTAACCTACAACATTGCCACTGCAAAGACGTCTTACAACTGCTCCCAGACTCCTACCCCTCCGCGACATGCCTTCCGCAAGGTTACATCCTCCACCTGGTCAATCCTAAACTCTGCACTTTTTGCCTGTGACTGGCCTCTTCTACACACCTCCACTACTGTTGATGAAGCTGTGTAGAAGTTCATCACAATTCTTGATTGGATGCTCTCCTTTTATGTGCCACAATACGGACCAGACCCGCTACACACAAACATGGCTGCTCCCACCCTCGTCAGTCCAACTGTAGCCCCAATATCCCTTTTCTCGACAAAGATCTCCAAGGTGGAATTAAACTCAAATACGACTACTACAGTTTAATCAAGAAGTACCCCACCTGTGCTAATATTTTTTTTGTACAAAAAACAGCGCAATCTGGTGAAGTCATTGTATTTACGTTCGCTCACTACCACCCTATCTCACCCCTCTTCCAGGCCTAACCTGTATATATTTGTTCGCACTCAAAGGACATCTACTACACTTAAAGACCTACCTCCGTTATTAGCTTCCAATGGTTCGATGGTGACTAACCCCAAGTCTGTGGCTTATACTCAGAATACGCAATTCACATCAGCTGGTATTCCAGACCACCCTTCCTATCCAATACCAAATCTGCAACGTTCTGCGACAGTGTTTTCTGATCTGTGCTCTGTACATACCACCACATCATCTGTCCGCAGCTACCTAAAAAAACTAAAAAGCAACAAAAGACCTGGTCCTGATGCCCTACCAAATAAAGTTCTCAAAGGTCTAGCTCCAGCTCTGGCGTACCCACTGTGCCGTATATTCAACCTTTCCTACTCCTCCGGCGTATTTCCTGATCGTTGGAAGATCGCTAAGGTCATGCCCATCTACATATGTAAAGGCTCCCGATCACAAGCCTCAAACTATCGTCCAATTTCTCTGCTGCCTTTCAAAAGTATGTGAAAAGATATTTTATGACCAGTTGTGGTGCCACATTTCACCATGCCTTAACCCTTCCCAATCTGGCTTTCGCCGCACAGACTCAACCTCTGACCAACTAGCTCGTCTAGTACAAGACATTGCCACCCTTCGAGATGCTCGCCACCATTTTGCTCTCTCTTTCTTAGACTTGGCATAGGCCTTTGACACTGTCTGACATCGTGGCCTCCTTGCCAAGCTACATATTGTCGTTGGTGTGTCTGGCACTGCTCTGTCCTGGCTGGAGTCCTATCTAAGTAACCGACCACAGTTTGTTTCTGCCCTCTCCATCCACACTGATCCCATACCAGTGTCTTCTGGAGGTCCCCAAGGCTCCATACTTAGACCTCTTGTATTCTTGGAAGAATGAAGTTAAAGAC